AGGGTTCGAAATATGAAGTGCATTCTTCGCAAACAAGTCTGGCGACATTTGTGTTGTCAAAAATAGTATGCACACAGTCATTGATTATTTTTAGCCTTATTAACGCAAAAAGAAGTTTAAAAAGCGATAGTGGAACTCATTAGTCTATTCTTGTTCAAAATATGTGACTTTAAAATCCTAAACTGTTTTAAAACTGTAGTTACAGGGTTCGAAGTAAGTGTATACTCGAAAAACAAAAATAGCGACATTTGTGTTTTCAAAGACAGTGCACACGCATTCAATATTGATTTTTGAGTTTGTTTTGCCAAAAGGAAGTTTAAAAAAGCGATAGTGGAACTCATTAGTCTATTCTTGTTCAAAATATGTAACCTTAAAATCCCAAACTCTTTTAAAACTGTAGTTACAGGGTTCGGATTTAGAACAACAAAAATTGACATCTTTTCGTAGTCGCGCAAGGTGAGCTATTAAAAAATATATTTATTACAAAATTTGTATATCGCAGGGATTTGTGAACGTCCTAGTGGAATCAACATTACATATGAGAGTATAACTATATGCCTTAGCAGACAAGTGACAGCTTTGTCGCCAAGTTCCAGGGTTCGAAATATAACCACACAGGGAGAGATGTAATATACGTGCGTAATTGTTTTGTCAACGTTGTTAAAAACCGAAGTTATAATGATTGTTTTTATAGGGAAAATTAAAAATATACACGTACTCACCTTGGCATATATTCTCTGCTTTTGGTACCGCCAAAAAATATCTTTTACCTTTGCGTTTGTTAAAAAAAAGGGGAAAAATATATGCAAAATCTACATTTTTTAAACTTTTTTACAGGCCAGTTGCCACGGCAACTGATGAATTGATACGTGCTAGCCCGTATCACGGATGCCACGTTCGCATCATAGCGTTTTGCCTAGCGTTTCCAGTCCATTCCTTTGATTGTCTATGGTCTGATACATAGTCATGATAAACAAGAAAGTTACAAGGTTGTTCTAACAAGTCTGATACAGTTTTGATATAACAAGAATGTTGATGACACAAGGTTGTAACAATATTGTTATATCATGACTGTATCGGACTTGTTGGAACAACATTGCAACAAGTCTGATAATATCAACAAGCTTGTTACAAGCTGTTAACAAGTTGTTCCGTCAATTCGATGTGCAGACACGACTTCGAATCTCTAAAAACAGCAGGAGAAGTCATTTTGTCTGTACGAAACTACTTTTCTTTAGTCTTACAAGCGAATCAAAGGAGCGGTGTTTGCCTCGAACGAAGATGGCGAGCTCTCCTCCGGGATCTGGACCGAGCTTGAGATCATCATGCTTGTCGTCATTCAAGAAATCTTGTTTCTAACTGACCTGCCTTCTGAGCCCGCAAACATCACGTCGCTGTACCAGTTTATCGCGGCTTCGGAATTTGTCACGGAAATTAAACTTCCTATTGTGAAGAAGGAAGCTGTGGAAGTTCAAGCTAAGCTCGAGGAAATGGTTGCCAAGCAACAGCTGGTGTTAGCAGGATTGAATCCGCAAACATTGCCTGTCAGTAAAGTTGAGATGGCTACCGTGTGACATTGTTTTACACCTTACTACATTTGAGAACTTTTAATAACCATGGTCCATGTTAAATGGTTACTTGTCCGCACGCCATGTCACTTGCATTGCATTCTTTTTTCATACGAAATTTTATGTGTTTGTAAATTTACCTCATTAACAATAGAGTTGGACGATATTTCGATTATTGATATTATCGATTTCTTCTGCCATATCGTATCGAAGACAGAAACGATATATCGTAATTATCGAGATTATCGATGATTACGTGATATTTGCATGTGCGCATGGCTTTCATAAAAGCCGAAAACAATTCTTTTAATCGTTGAAAATATACTTTTAGAAGAATTGAAAATAGTTTCTGTTTTTATTGAAGTTATTTTACATTAGTTTAAAGATAAAGAGCAGAGCCGAGAAAATAACTTTAAAACCAAACATAATAAAAGCAAAAAAAATATTTGCCAACGTTTCGTTGTTTAAAATACAACATCATTTTCTTCTTTTATTTTACATTAATTAAAAATGAAACTATGTGGTTATTGTTTTTATTATTACATCCACCATCTACCCCAAATCTCGATGTTTGCGGGAACATCACACGAATTTTACGCACAGGTAATTGTAATTAGACAGATTCCTATTAGAAAGAACTTCTCAAATTATATAGTGTAACATTCTTGTAGCCCGATATTTGGGGTATGTATCTTTTATCGTGTGAATTACATATGTGTTGGTGATGGTGTATTGCGTTCCTAGTTACATACTGGCCGAAAGGACTCAATCTTTCAAAAGAGAAAGGATCGGTGTCTTGAAATGGGGTTTGCCTGTCTTCGTCATGGAGCGTACACTGGCTGGTCATCTGGGGGTACCGACATTAGGTAGCCCTAATAATTTTTATATTGAACACACGGAAAACTGCAGCATTTTTTCGTTCAAGAATATATATAAACATAAAACATTGTGTAATAGGTTAGGTGTGTACTGGTAGCAGGGCCGTTGCGAGGACTTTGCCTTAGGGGGTGTGTGAGGTTAGATTTACCTGAATGGGGGGGAGGTCACAAAAACATTTTCCCGGACATATCAAAAAATTTTCATAACATTACAAAAAAATTTTCCGGACATATAATTTTTCCAAAAACACAAAAATTTTTCTTGGCACATCTTAATTTTTACGAAAATACTAAAATATTTTTCCGCAAATATAGTATTCACTTTCTTATGCCCTAAGAATTACCTGAAAATCTACGGGAAATTTACCTGAAAATCTACTGGAAATCTACCTAAGATTGCTCACGAGCAATTATTAGGGGGTGTTGCAACCCCCCCCCCCCCCTGGTCGCTACGGTCCTGACTGGTAGGGAGGGAACGGTTATTCTTGTAGGATTATAAATTTGGCGCGCTTGCAGAGTATCCAAGTCCGTCTCTCCCTACTTTTTTCTCATATTTTCGCACCTTTTTTGACCGCTCGCGTGCATCCCTATTTTCAACCCCCTTGAGAGACGGACTTAAACCAAGTCTAAGGATCGGAAAGCTCGGGCATATTCTGCAGTGTTTGGCGCCAAAATAGACAACGGAAACAAGGCGCCTTGACAGAAACGAATCAAGCAAAATATGCTTTTGCTACAATTCGGCAACCATATTCTTTCTCCATTCATAATATGTTTATTGATTTTCTTGCGAAGAATTTATGCAAATCAAAATATTATTTTGATTTTTTCACATATATTACTGGCAATAGTTCATCCACCCGCTGTAGCGTGACAAGAGACAACAAAGACGAATTTCAAAATTCAAAGCAAAATGGAGAAAGAACGCGAAGAAAATGTTCCAAGCAATGTTGCAATTACAGGTGATACGTCAGATTCTGATATATCTGACCAAGAGTTACTTGAACTTTCCCGAGGAGAGATGAACAAACTCGTAAAGGGGAGAAGTGATGGAGACGATTTAAGGAAGCGACGTAAGGCGCTGAAGAGAAAACTATCCAGCATCAGAACCAGATCTGAACAAAAAGAAGCTATGAAGCTTAAGAGGCGACTAGATGAGAAAACTGAAAGAACCGCAGCCTTAAAACCCAGAGATCGGATTAAAGTCTCTGTGAAGCATAGGGAGAAGTTTGAACGGCTTTTAGAACTGTGGGAAAATGATCCTAAATCGATAACAATAGTAAATGATAATGGCGTATGTTTCAAAGAAGAGTTCGTAATAGGCAGGGGCAGTTATGGCACAGAGGTGTATGTTTGCTTGGGATCAGACGGAATAGAACGAGCGATAAAACGTTTACCAAAACATCTGTGTAAGAAATTCTTAAAGAATGAACGAGATATCTTGAATTCTCCGAATGCAGTCGACTCGCCACGAATTGTAAATTATTGTTTCTACGATGAGACTTCCAACCCTGATTTCGGTTATTTGATTCTGAACTTGTATGAACAGAATCTTGAAGAGTATATCAGTGAGGAAGGCGAAACGATAACAGAATCCCGTGCTAGAAAGATGATACGTCAAGTGTTGTTAGGGCTGAAAGCATTACATGCTAGAGAGCCTAGAATTCTACACAGAGACTTGAAGCCAACTAATATACTTGTTGATAAGAGTGGTAATTTACTGCTGTCTGATTTTGGTATTGGACGGTTTTTCCCAGAACAAGGTATTTTCACAAGATATAACCAATAAGTTAGTCTGCTCACAAACTGCATCCCACTCCCCCCTGGCTCACAGGGTGACAGTCTGCTGTCATTCGATCGACGGCGAAATATGATCGGCAGTTTTTCATTGGTTTGTTTCAAAATTATACTTGCATAATTATACTTTGCTTAGCTAATTTCGAGACGAGACTACCGGTTTTACTGATTATAAAAAGTTTCTGGATGCTGTTGGGCAGACATTGCCACACAAAAGAGCATTTAATTTTTTGGGATGAATAAATTTGATAGAATTTACAAATCTGGCATATTGTTTGCAAGTTTATGTTTTGATTTCGTTGTATTGTTTTGCTTAACCTTGTCTATCTCTAATTACCTTGTTTGCGTAATACAAATTCTATTTAAAGTAATGCACCTGATTTGATAATAAAAAAAGAAAGCCACTAAAGTGATGAAGTACACAAATGTGAAATGAAATTGCCCTAGAGGAACTAGATGAAAATACGAACAAAAGCACCAAATTTTGGTTGAAATTCTTGCAGGACTGCGCTTTTGTGAGAGAATATGATGTTGACATTGAGAAGTATCCAATTTTGTCATGTTAATAATAAACAAGTAATGCGATGTTGCTTGTACAATTCGGGATTAATAGTACTCATGCCCAGGTAGCTCGTCCAATTTTGGCAAAATTTCCAGACATCACTTGTACTATTAATCCTTAATTGTACTCGTACTAATTGATGTAATTGATCCCATTTAACAAAACTGCAGATGCATGGTCAAGTGCTATACATTTTAGCTAACCTCTCATGTAAATCATGTTGTCCCAGGAAATATGTTTCCCACGGGCCATATTCAAGCAGCTAAATGTAGGAATTGCACATCCACATTGTGATAAGATGAAGTTTATTCCAGAAAGCATCTGCGTATCCCCCACAGAGGATTAACTTTAATTTAACCTCTTTGCCCCCCCTAGGGCATGCATTCTAACATTTGGTATAAGTAGAATGTTGTTATAAAATGGGTCAATTTTACCTCTTCACAGGTGCAACAACCTACCATACCACTAACGAAAGTGGGTCACACGGCTGGCTTGCATATGAATGTATTGACTGGAATGGATGGTTAACTAATCCTAATAAGATACGGAGCACTTCAGATGTGCCATTACAACTCAGGTGGAAAGAGAAATCAGATATCCAAGTCGCAGGCATGTTATCATTTTACATCTTGACAAAAGGGAAGCATCCGTTTGGTCCGAAAATAGCCCAACTGATACATTTGCATGATGACAATCCAGTGGTTTTAAGTGAGCTTAGTGATCATGTGGTCACAGACCTGCTGTCTCAGATGTTGGCTCAGGATCTAGATGAACGACCATATGTGGAGCAAGCCTTGAAGCATCCTTACTTTCTCTCTCCCAAAGAGCAGATGCAATTTGTACAAGCTGTGGGCAACGAACCTAAATTAAAGAATTCATACGATGCTGTTCCCAGACAGCTGGACGACCGTCATCCATCCAAACCTCGAAGTCCGTTGTTACGAAACAATTGGAAAACAGTGATTGGTCATGATGACCTCAACACGTTGTGTAGAGGAGGTCATAAGTCCCTATCAGAGTATAAAGGTAACCGGTATACACATTGCATTCGATTAATACGAAACACATTTCAGCATCCAGATGGCAAACTGCGTCAATTGAAAAAGAAGACACGGACCACGTCTTCTCTTGAGAAATATTTTTTCCAGTTATTTCCAACACTCCCGCTTGTTCTTTATCAAATAATCAGAGAGGATCCCGACTGGAAAACACGCCTTGCCTTGAAGGAATTTTTCCCTGTGATAGACCGTCATGCAGTGCCTGACGCAGACTAAAGCATACACAATGTGTCAGGTTCGTACAGTATATTTCACTATGGTTTTCATTATTCATTTATTATCATAATGAAAGACCCTGGGAACGAGGTTGCCATAATGGTTCATTTGGGCCGATTATGGTAACATTTTCAGTCGTTTGAACCTGCCCTTGTTGTTGTATAATGATCACATGTTTTGTCAATTAGACATGTGTTCCAGAAATAATGTTCGTCAGCTTCGTCTTCAAATTTTTTTAAGAACAAGAAATGTAAAATGCATTTTTTTATCGTTTCATAGATTCGTCAAGGCCGCAGCATTTAAGTGCTCATTCCAGGGAAAACAGTGCTCCATCATTATTGGCACTTTAAACAACACGAAATAAGATGGAAAATCTTCTGTATATATTTAAAAAAGGACAATTCACAATTGTCGGTGTCCATGAACTAGACTTATTAGACCAACTAGACTTATTATTCCAAAGCCTTTATTTATGCTATTGGAGTGTGGGGATGTGCCCATTGGCCCCATTATGATAAGTATTTAGGACAAATCGATAGGTTTTTTGCCAGAGCTTTCAAATGAGATTTTGTAAAAAGCTATATTGTATTAATGATCTCATCTCCGCTCGTGACCAACGACTTTGGAATACCGTTGTTGATCAAGGTTCACCTTTGCATGATCTTTTGCCGCCTACTAGAACTAGAATGTTACGAATAGGGGACACAACTATTTCAGGCTCCCCAAGGTGCGAACTGAAAGATTTAAAAATATTTTTATGAACACGTGTCTTTTCAACTATTATAGTGTAGTGTAGTGTAGTGTAGTGTAGTGTAGTGTAGTGTAGTGTAGTGTAGTGTAGTGTAGTGTAGTGTAGTGTAGTGTAGTGTAGTGTAGTGTAGTGTAGTGTAGTGTAGTGTAGTGTAGTGTAGTGTAGGATATAGTTAAGTCTTTACTATATTTATATACTTACTATACTTAGTGTCTCTTATCCATGTAAATATATCACGTTTATTGATGTATGTATGCAATTAATGTATAACATTTTAGCCTAAAAGGAGTTTTAATAATTTTAGCTTAGTAATAATTAGTTTGCACAATACAGACTCTTATAAAGAACATATATTAATCATAATTTAGTGACTGATAGGTTTAAAATAATTTTCATTTAAATTGACAGTCAATTACCTAGTACTTGTAGTAATTTTATTATAGTAACATGCACAATATATATACACAGTTGTAAACTATTATCCAATTTTCATCTAAATTGAACCAAAGTTTGATCGATACTCGCATATATATCATTCATTCATTGCGTTATAGCATTGTTAGCCTGCTCAGCAGCCAGTATTGGATTGAATTGGTCCTAATAAAGCCTGGGGCATATATAGATCAGTGATATTTCCTCAGAAAATTTTCAATTTTTTAAGTTAGGAATGGTTTTGTTTTTACCGTAAATCTTTGTATGAGTGCTTAGCAAAACTCATTCTTTTATTGAAATGCCCATTTTAAATTAAGAACAGCCCATTTTGGAAAATGGACGCCTTCACCCATTAAAACCAGGGGCGTCAGAAACGGCAGGCCGGACCCCCTCACTTTTTTTAGTTGGGGGGGGGGG